TTAGTGCTGCATCAGCACTAGAGATTTTTCCTCACAGTAGCACTTAAATATGAGAAATATTGATGCATGATCTAATGCCATTTCCTAATGGATGAGAGGATTTCAAGGATTTCATAACAAAATATTGTAGTCACTATACAGTATGATTGCATCATTGCTAAAATTGTAATTAACTGTAGAAACTTCTGCTATTGTAGCAATTTGTGTTTGCAGTTTTCACTAACCTTCCAAATTCTGTTCTGGGCATGCATTGTGAAGCAGCCTTGAAGTACTCCCAAAATTTGAGTGTGAAAAATGGTGAGTGCACACTCGATAACCAGATGAACAACGATGCCATTGAGAAATCCGACTGCGAGAGAGATTTAGGAGTAATGATAAGTAGGAATCTTGAGCCAAGTAAACGATGTTTTTTGCTCGTAACAAGGCTAATAAAGTACTTGGGTTCATACAAAGGTATGTTAGTTACAAGACTAGCGAGGTCATCTTAAGATTATATCTTGCGCTTGTGAGACCTCACCTGGATTACGCAGTTCAGTTTTGGTCACCGTATTACAGAATGGATATAGAATCCTTGAAAAGAATCCAGAGGAGAATGACAAAACTAATACCGGGCATTAGGAACCTTGAGGTTAAAGCATCTTAATTTGTACTCCCTGGAGAGACGTAGAGCGAGGGGCGACATGATAGAGGTTTATAAATGGAAGTCAGGGCTAAACAAAGGGGACATTACAAAGGTACTCAAACTATCCAACCAGGAGCGAACTCATAACAATGGTTTTAAATTAGACAAATTTAGATTTAGGCGCAAAGTAGGTAAACGCTGGTTTGGAAACCGTAGTGGATGAATGGAACAAGTTACCAAATATCATTAACTCGAATCCGCTGGATAGCTTCAAACATAGGTTGGATGTTTATAAGAGCAATAGGGGTTGGGTGTAAATGGGACTGCCCAGTATGGGCCAATAGGCCCGCTGCAGTTTCCTCCATTCTTATGTTCTGTAAAATTCCACAAAGGTCTTCTCGTATATTCTGGGAATGTCGATGGCATTTTGCCGTCTGCGACACCTGTCAAATTCGTATCAAGTGAGTCCGAGTGACTGATGAAGATGCTGCCTCTGATTAATTTGAAGTCTTGGCTGTTCTTAGCTGTCGTCCAAGATTTTGAAAACCTGCAGACGACAACTTGACGTCACAGAAGTACAACTGCAGCGCCATTTTTGGACTACATAATGACGTCACTGTTCCTTGAGATCCCAGCTAGTATTAAAAGACTATTTTACTCGTCCCTGTCTTGAGTATACAGTCTTTGGGTCTGACGGTGCGCAGGTGAGGTACGGACGAGGTGGGCGGGAGTGATGACGTCAGCTGATCCACCCTGCCTGCGTCGCCTTGACAAGTTGACCCAGTCTGATCCGGGCCATTTGTGTGTACACCACTGTCTGAGGCAATCAATATAATATTTTGTGACGTGGTATATTTTCATTGAACTGGCTTCAATGCGGCAGATATGTCGAACAATTGCTAAGTATATGGATGCTATAACACAAGAAAAAAAAAGCAGGATCAAACATTAAATATTTCCGCTCTCCAAAGGAAAAATAATTGAGACCGCGGTGGATTTATTCCTGTTGCCGAGTTGATGGCATCAATGCAGACAGTACAGTGGTGTGCTCAATTCATTTTAAGAAACGTGATTACAGAGATGACCTGAAATGTCGATCACTTATGGGGTTGTGCAAAATGCTCCAGAAGTCTTTTAATCTTGAATTCATTCTAACTAGAAAACTAAACGAAGATTATCTGGAGCATTTGTTTGGGTGCATAAGACAGATGTATGGAACCTACAACCATCCAAATGCTGTGAATTTTAAGTTCAGGCACAAGAAGTTACTCCTGGGAAAAGACGTTTCACTAATTTCTGAGAAATTTAACACAACTAATGATAATTTAGACCGCTTGTCAAGAAATATTGGTCTTGACAAACGAATGATACACGTTTCAATGACAGAGCTGGCAGTAGAACTGTTGTTTCAAAGACTTGGATATTGGCAATGAAGTAGAAAAAAAGAGTTAAATGGTGAGTTTGATGATAAACTAGGAGTGTATAAACCCTGACAAAAACACAGGTAAAGCAATAGATTTAGTCATAGAAGAGGAAGCTCTTAGGTACGTTGGTGGCTATATTGTAAGAAAGTTTTGCGTGAAGTGCCCTCACTTAGGCCAGAAAGCCACTGAGTGCACCTCCTTGACTAAAACATGGACAGAAGAAATAAACCGAGGTGAACTGTATGTTCCTTCTGACACTATTAACCATTATGAGACGTATTTAAGGCTGTACATGGGGACAGTCGTAAGGAGGAAAGACCGTTTCAAAACAATTGTCTGAGATAGAGAGTTGATGTACCCCAGGATGTTTTATCATTCTTTGACAAAATCTGTTCTTTAAAATTCGGAACTGAACAGCAGAATTAGGATAAATAGGAAAAACAAAATTTCAGAAGTGAAAATAGAAAATTTATGAAAATATAAAAATGATAAGGGGGAAAAACAGATTGTCTTCGGTTACAGTTGATGTAAATCATATTTGTTTATTTATAACCTTTATTTGTAAATAAAATACAAGTTATCATGATATTTATTCCCCTTTTAGATACATATACACAAACATTTCAGAGGAGGTAGTTATGAACTCTAGTGCACAGATAAATTACACTGAAATGCGTAGGAATTTCAGGAAATTAGTAAGAATATTCAAATAATGCTAGTTGTCCTTTCCTCCACAATGAAGGGACGAAAGTGGCCAGATCCTTTGACACGCTTTTAGATAGCCTCTCTTACTATAGCTACATCTTTCTCCTTTCCGAGCTAAACCTCCCTATACCAGGATATGGGAAACGGGGTTATGATGATGCTACTGTAAAGATAGGCAGACTAGTCAGAAGGGAGGGAGCAGGCCAGCCAGCTATAGTTCCGGTGACGTCAATGCGCAGAGGGAGCGAAAACTAGACCTCTGTCCGTCCGACCTGTCTACATTGACCTTGTGTGTGCTATCTTCCCATGTCGCCTGAGAATCCCGTGGTCCGTGTGTGACTTTCAATAACACGGGGGAACTTTTGCAGCTGATGCATGTGAACATCTGTTGCAGAGTTAAGGTTAGGTTAGGTTAAGTCAAGTTAAGTTAAGCTAAGCTAAGCTAGGTTTGGTCAAATTGTTAGGTTAGATTCCATTAAAGTACTGTACATTCTTCCACTTATCAATAAATCCAGGCGAGATCTGAGGCCATTCAACCTCCCATTTTTCATCAAGTTTTTGACGGAGTAATACAAATTTATAATACCGGTTTACGATATGTTCTTCAATAATTAACTTGCTCTAATATAGTCTTCATAGTTTTAAGATATTTCTGGCTCTAATTTTCGACTTATGTTTTTCATATATATTGAAATAGTTTTTGGTGTTTTGAATTCAAGGAAATCAAAGGCTTCATTGTAGGGGATTAAAACTGAACAATTATATTATTCTCGTGAACTTTTATCTGAACATTGAAAATATTTATCTTTGCTACCTCTGATTCAGCTCCCTAAAGCTTGTAACGTCAGGGTTCGAATTTACACTGAAGACGATAAAGTATTCTGGTATAATGACTGACGAGGGAGATGAGTTGTCATGTGAAAAATTATTTATTTTTGTTGCGTATAGTTATTACAATGCCAACTGTTAGTAGTAATGCAGTTACAGCTGTAGAGAAACCCTTGATAACACTATTTAAAGATTAACGTAACTGGAGGTTAAAATTAACTTTGTTAGGAATTAGATCTAAGAAACCCGTTTTATTCTTCAGATATTCTCACGGTTATTGTACAGAAAGTTATAGAAGGTAACGAGGCAACTACACTCTAAAGTCTAAACCACCTTATTCGACGATCGGGAACCACAGCCACAAAAGAGTTCCTCTTTACGAAGGCAGAAAAACCACATTTCTCCAGAAACGAGGTCAGTGCAAGTCCAGTATTAGGCCTTGTACCCCCAGCATTTACTGTGTATTCTTATAATTGATTGTTGTTATAACCAGGGCCGGATTAAGCCATGTTGAGGCCCTAAGCTATATGTAATCCTGGGAGGCGTCGAGGCCACTACCACTTAATATGTATATTTTTAAAAATATTTTCCAAAGATAAAGTGAATGAGAAGTTGTACTATCTGGCGATACCTACAGAAACTAATTTATACTTTCGGCATGCAAGTGTTAATGAATACAGCAGGAAATGGACTCGTGTTTAATAATAATAACGATTTATTGAAGTTCTGCAGCCCGAAGGCTGAAAATATACATAAGACAAAAATGACTTGTATACAAAGACGTGGGGTGGGTGGGTCGTTTAACAAAAGCTTTCATTACTGAAAGAAGGAACATGAATTGAACATACAAATTATTATAGTTTACAGTTCATGGCACGGGCTGGTCTCTTGCCATACTGTGTCAGGTCACATAGGACACGTGGTTCAGTAACTCGTCCGTAGGTGTTGATATGAAGGAGCTCACGGGGTCATGGAGACATCGGTGTGTGTGTGTGTGTGTAAAAAATGCAATATAATTTTATTAGTGATACATGAAACCACATTTGGCAAGTTGGTACCATAAGATAATTTTGTATGATACCAGAAAACGACAAGTGGTGTGATCAGCTGACAACAGTTGCCAGATTTTTCAGACAAGAACCCCGCACGCCAACAGAACCGGCCAAGAAAATGTACTATGCTTCGTATTAATGGGATCTTCTAAAAGCGGAATTGCCCCACGAAATTAGAAAATTTAGGACTTTTTATTGATACTTTTCAGTATTCACCAAGAATAAAAAGAACACACACACACCTCAATCTGTATCTATAGTATACCGTACATTTACCGGGTATAGCATTATATATATATAAGGGTACTTGTGCTTATTCAACTACCGCGGGAGCAACAATCACGTGGATAATGTATCATATTTTCCCAGATAAATGACGTAAGATGTTGGCAGGTGAGAGGGCCACTGATATATAAAGGTGTTGGTACGTCAGTGTCTCTATGAAACAGTAGTTGAGATGGCGCGCTTGTTGCTCCTCACTGTACTTTCCCTCCTGGGCTCCACCAATGCTAAGAAACTTAAGGTAACACTTTCACATTTCAGAGTTTGTTAATACTGGCCTGTATAACATGTCACCATCCAGATATTATATTCCTATACGGACATAAGAGAGAGAGAGACCGTACAAGTTAGACACTTCTTCACACATATTTCACATCGATATGTACAACATTTATATACTCGTTATGTATTAAACCACTTCTATTATGATCACATTGTTAACAAGTTTAAGAATGAGTGCCAGTAAAAGCTGTAACAACGACACTAACAACTCTCTCATGCAATACTACAACACATCCCAGATTTTTCTCCTCTAATAATTCTCGTAACACAGTGGCGTCCTAGTGCATCATGTCTGCCTGCAGTGTTTACCAGTCTTGTTCCCTAACTGTCTCATGTACGAAGCATTTATTATTATTATTATTATTATTATTATTATTTTGTTGTTATTATCATCATCATCATCGTCGTTCTCAATGTTGCAGGTGTCAGGTACGGATCTCACCTATGGAGGAGAGAAAGTGTTCCTCAATGGGTGTAACATCGCCTGGCACGATTACGGGCGTGACTTCGGCAATGGTGACTACGACGGCACTCTGGAGCAATGGGTGCAGGAGATAGCCAGCTCGGGCGGCAATTCTATCCGTGAGTTCCTTGTTTCTTTAAGACCTCAGCAACTGACTGACCAAATGGGGAGCCTGTTCTAAATGGGACAAGATTTAAGGGATTCCAGTTCTAATGGGCTTTTATACTAAAAATGATTAGGTTAGGTTAGGTTGAGGCCCAGAAGGGTTGGGTCTATTAAGTTTTGGGTTCAATTGAAAGCATAACATATGGACCTAGGTGTAATATGATTGATTAGCAACTAAAGTTTAATGGAAATTAATGGACAACTTTGTTACTCAGTCTTGAACCAAACCAGAACCGTAGATAAAGTTCGGTCAACTGTGACATGCAGGGGCTCCATGTTGATGCTCAGCTGATGAAGATGTTTGCGCTCGTACTGTAGAGAATGATAATATTGATGATGTTTATTCGGTAAAATTGTCATACGCGTGTACAATTGATAAGCATGTTTGTAAACTATGTGGGAGACAACCTGAGAAAACTACCCACCCGCTGAGTAAACAATATGGCGCCCGTGTTTGAACCAAGCATGGTACATCCTGTATGATATGTTGTTAAAGGCATTTGTATAAAGCTACAGCAGAATCTTATTATTTCACTTTAATATAGTTTACAAGACCAAATGATAATATAATATTGCACATCCCTGTTTCATGTACAGTATAGGACTACAGTATATGTTGTGGCACTTCCCTGGCAGGAGCATTGTTTCATGTACAGTATAGGACTATATGTTGTGGCACTTCCCTGGCAGGAGCATGGGTACACGTAGAAGGATACAGCACACCGGTTTTCGACGACAGTGGGCACGTCACCGCGTGTGACAAGACTGGTGACTTTGAGGACGATGTTCTTAAACTACTGAACGCTGCTGAGCAGAACAACGTGCTGGTAACTTTGACTATGTGGAACGGCGCCTACCTCACCAACCAGAAGGCCGTCGATCTCATCATGGACGACGACAAACTTGAATCTTACATTGAGAACTGCCTTAATGTGAGTAAACCGTATAATAATTTAATTTAAAGTTCTAATAAGGGCCATAAGAGTACATGTTATTATATTTGTATAGCAATTACTTCTTTTGGTAAGCTTATATATATACAGAACGTAGGGTTAAAGGGTTCACGAGTATACACTCGTGAAACAGATAAGATAGCCTTGGTTATTACTAAGTTTATGCTATTACTACATTGCTGTCATTCGGAATCGAGTATGACGACCATTCAACGCTGACCGAATGATGTCACCTCCGATGAGGTGGTTTGAGTGGCCGTTACCAGAGCGGCAGGGTCGTCCACAGATGGTGCAAGTGTGAAGAGGCGGTAGGGACGGCGGCAGCGTCTCTCCGGCGTTAGTACTTGTTTACCTCGGTGTGCAGTCGATCTTACTGGAGAGTATTAACACCTCGTGTGACGGTCCTCCAAACTACACGATGTGGAATGATTGTCTCCAACGTGCGGCAGTCGATTGACACTTTTTCCTGGTTTGTCTTAAGACTTTCTTATTATTTTTTTCCGTTGCCCGCCAGCGGAACGTTTATCATATTTTAAATGACTGTAAAATTGAAACGTTGGCAGGCTACTGTCGTCTATGTGGGGTAACTCGGCCAGTCCAACGTAGTTGTTCATGGATAATGGTAGCCTTGACGCTCCTACAGTTGGTGTCCGCGAGAATACTGGTATTTGTTCTGTTGTCCCAGCGGACCCGGAGGATAGAACGTAGACTACGTTGGTGAAAGATTTCAAGTGCCTTGAGGTGACTCCTAATGTGACTCGTGTCTCACTGCCATACAGCAGGGTGGGGAGGACCACTGATTAATATACGTGCAGCTTTGTAGACATTTTCAGCTTCCTACAGCTGAAGAAACGAGTACACATTCTGTCAAAGACTTGAGATGCACATCTGTCACTTTTTCATCAATGTCCGCAGTGGTGCAAGGCTAGAACTGGCCGCATTCATGGCACTTCACCCAATTTACCTCCTAACCATTATATCACTTATTTGACGCAAATTCATTACCTGTTATCACTACACGCATGTTAAAACCATCAGTATGACACAATGTATTATTCTAGCATAAAACAAACACATGCAGTACACATAATATTTATCCTAATGCAATGACACTTTCCGTCATGCTCCAGGGTTATCCTCCAAGTTAACGCGAAGAGTATGAATATGGTTCATCAGTACAGCAGACCGGGAGGTATATTGTTTTATTAATTTATCTCATTGGTAACTTAAAGAGATTGGTGCTGTGGGCAACCTCCTTGGTGGGTTAACTTTTTCCCTCCCCTCTTCCCACTGAGGCCTCCCTCCCCTCCACCTCCTCACGTAACATCACTCCGCAGATTGGACCTAATATTTGGTAATGTGTGTTAAAACTATGAACTTGCAAGAAACGCTTACACTCAGAGATAGTGGAGGACTGCTTACTTTACTCTAGCTACGATTGCAAGTTCCATTCAGGCCATTCTGGAAGTTAAACTAAGGTGTAAACAAACACAGGTGCCACATTTCACAAAACGCGCCAACCAATGTACCGTGTGGAAGTGATACCGGGTGTACAAATCACGGCGCTATTCTATGTTCTGTATCTAGCTGGCAACAAAGATCGTGCCAGTGGTGCCGCGAGATGGGCTAAAGCCACATCGAAACTCTGGGATGAAGTTGTCAACCTCAGATAGGAGTCGGTTGATGAGGACTTGAGCGATAATCTTTCCTTCTATGAAAAGCAGCAAGATCCCACGGTCGTTGTCTTCCTTGTTCTTATGGATATTGACGATGGAGGTTTTTTGAAATCCAGGGGGTTTCCTCCTGTTCCAATGTATTGTCCGACTTGTTAACTCCTGATTTGTATTCTTCAGGTTAGGTTTCATCATGCCCTGTGGTTTTTTCTATTTCTCATCTGCTTAATGGTAGTAGCTATTTCGTCTGGGAATGGAGAAAAGTCGAGATGTGCGAGCTCCGGGCACTGAGGGACCTGCTGGGTCGTCAGGAAACCCAAATCGGTGTTTCGGTTAGGCAGGGTATAGTAGTGCTCTTTCCAGCACTGACGGTTGCCCTCCGGGTCTTTAATAAGGGAGTTACAGTCAGAAAGGCGGAGGGAGGGGCGCATCATTTGTAGTTGAACCATAGATTGCTTTGGTGGAATTGAAAAATTCGCGCATCTGGCGTCGATCCACAGTTTTTTTGCGCTCCACGTTTATTTTTAGTCCAGCATACGTTCTTCATTTCCTGAAGTTTGGAAGGAACATTGCCTTCTGCTGGTGGAAGGTATCATCTTTGGTCCGAGACTGAAGGTTGTTTTTCAAGTTAATGAAGGCAACACGTTTACTAGAGGAGTACGTTGATTTTCTGGTTATTTTCATCAAGCCAAACTTGGTGTTTCCTTTTGAACTGGCCGAGGGTCTCACAGCAGATCCTTTTGATAACGGCTTTAAGGGTAACGCATTCCGCACTAGGACTCCAGTTGTTGGGTTGTTTATCAGCCCCTCATAGAGTTGCTCTCCGAAAGCAAGTTCCACTGCTTGAACCTCAAGTCACTTGGTGATTAAAACGCCTCTGGTGGTTTGGTGCTTTCGCCGTTTTCGGGCGACGTGAAAGGAGATTAATGCTCTAACGAGCCGATGATCTATATCTCAGTTAGTCTGAGCCACGCATGGCTCTGGTGATTAGGACAGCTCGGGGATCCATTTCTCTAATAATGTAGTTTTTGACAGGTCAATGTTTAGATCGTGGATGTTGCCAAGAACCTATGAACTTTTCGGTCCGTTTAAACAAGGTATTGGTAATAGTGATACTGTGTTAAGTACACTTGCCTAGGAGGAATAAGCTGTTGGAATTGCACTTTCCCATTCTGTCTCTTCCTATGGTTTACTGTCGTAAGTCAACACCTTTGCCAACTCTGGCATTGAAGTCACCTAGGAGCATAACCTTATCTTCTCTGGGGATAGAGGTTAGCACAATTAATGTTGGCATAAAAGGCCTCCTTGATGTCATCCTCTGCATCCAGTGTTGGGGAATATGTACTGATGAAGAAGGCATGGCGTGAGTGATTCAGTGGGACTTGGAGCATCATGAGCCGCTCGTTGACCCCCAACAGTCTCTCTCTTGTACATACACGGGAAAACGAACTCGCGAACAGACGGTCACACAGTGGACAGAGTGCTAACTTCATGCCCTAAGTGCAGCTGGTTTAATCCTGGGGCACTCCTGGTCCACCCAGCTGTATATGGCCACCTAACTTTTCAGTTGGGAAAGTTGAATACAGTGCCGAACGCCCTACCTCTTGTGTACCGAGTTTCCACAGTCCCTGACGCCCGTCAGGTCTACAAGACCCAATATACTTGTGTTGTTTGTTTATTTTTAGAATTCCTGAAGTTGTACAATCGGCTACTTGGATTAGGAGGAAAATATTACAAGTTTTACTAGAGTAATTTATATCTTATAAACCATATAATTTCTCACCCAGCACCTGATGACGAAGATCAAGGGTCATCCAGCCCTGGCTGCCTTCGAGGCTGTGAACGAGGCTGAGGGATCTGTGAAGGTGAGTGACCACACTTGGTAACTAAATAAAGGTGAGTGACCACACCTGGTAACTATATATAGGTGAGTGACCACACCTGGTAACTATATATAGGCGAGTGACCACACCTGGTAACTATGTAAAGGAAAGTTTATAAAGCCTTTAATTTTGGTGAGAACAGAAGCTAGTAGTGCGAGTGGGCAGTCCGTCACACTGCTTGCACTTGTCTGCCTTATTCAAATTTATAAGCAAGTTCTTTCCTGGTTACAGTTCAAGGATTCCCTTTCACGGTCTTTTCACAGGCATCAACTCTTATCATGTTCACCTAGACCTATGTGAGAAGAGATCCTCTGCAGCTTTATCTTGACACTCTCGGCAGCCTGGCTGGCATATTGGTGACTTGCTTTCAAAGACGCGCGTAACAATCTAAGCTGAGGATGTCGAGCAATAGTGAGGATGATGGGACTGTCTATGGTAGTGATTTAAACGAGTTTTAGCACTGAGAGTATGGCAAACGGTTCATTCTGTAGAGTAGAGTCGGTTACATGCAATGATTCTTGGCGCGGTCTGGATGTCTCACAGTGCAAAGCCTAATCATAAATTTACCAAATCTTCTTGATAACCAAATATTGAGTGATGCATGTAATGAATAACACATTGTATAGCCTTCCAATAATTTCATTCTCTACTTTTCCAATTATTCTCTAATATTTTTTCTGTTGTTCATTCTCGTCCTAGACTTGACTCCAGCTCTTTTTCTTTCACTGATATTCGCTCCCTCCTTGCTAGTCTCTCCCATATTTTCACAAACGATTTATCTTAAACCATCTATAGCTTCACCCTGATCTCGCCATATTGTATTGCTGTCTTGTGTCTTAACAACTTGCATAATGATCGTCCTGTAGGTGGAGAGCAACAGTAATTCCTGCTACGACACCACAATCATCGGCCACGACGGCGCTGGCTGGACTGGCAAGAACATCCCCATGCATAAGTAAGTGTCAAGGGGCAACAGCTAACACAATTTGGGTTCCTCAGGTGGCTACAATGATGATTTTGAAGTAAATAGTGAGTGAGATAAGCTGAGCAAATTATTTAGGAGGATAATAACACCAATTATAACGCCGTTAGAATAACCATAACTTATTTAACGAGATTAGACCTTGTATAGAGACACGAAATCTAATAAAAAAAAGGCAGTATTGTGTGTGTTTTTTTTTTTTTTTTCATCATCATTGTCACAAGTGCACAAGATTGTCGTAGTATTCTGTGAGCGCCTCTATTAGACCAAGGAAATTCTACCACCCTGTGAGTTTGTATAATTTTGTATGAAAGACATGTTTACGATGTGTGTGTGTGTGTGTGTGTGGTGTATGTAATGGTCAACATGCTCGCCTCGGAAGGGAGTGGATCCGGGTTCGATCCTCGGGCAGTGTGAAACTATGTGCAAGTTTCTTTACGCAGTTTGCCTCTGTCTACCCAGCAGTAATTGGGAACCTGGATGTAAATCGATTTGCGGATTGTGTTCTGGGGTAATGGTTAGCCAGTGCAGTTGGCGAGTTGTCCGGTCTTCTTGGACTATTCCTTGACACTGGGTCATGCAACTCGTTAACATAACGTGTGGTTGTTGTGTTGGCGACAGCTTCTACACCTTAAACAAATTCATTCCCGTCTAGGTGGCCCTTGAGCTGGAGTAACAGGCCAGATTACATCCCCGTTTTTACCCGGCTATGTTCTGGCCTAGGCCGGAATATACCCTGGGGTTAATGAAGTGGCCAGGGGGTATAATTTGGTCTGTTACACCGGCCATCCTCGAACACGAAGGGCAACTATTATTATTATTATTATTACTATTATTATTATTATTATTATTATTATTATAAACAGTATATAACCTTTTCTGCCACACAGCTTCTTGAGGTTCATTGGTCGGCAGAATGAGGCAGTCCGCGCCATTGACCCCGACACCTTGATCACCCTGGGCTCCTGGGGTGAGTAATCACATGTTGTTGTAAGGTATAAACGTGTTTTCCTTTACACAAGGTCAAAACTAAGGGACCAAGTTAATAATACTCTAACTACAGTAATAATACTCGCATAACCTTAATAGTCTCACATTAATAATACTCAGAAAAATAATGCTCTCACTACAGTAAACTACGATGTCAGTGGTTTATTGTTAATTAAGTTTAAGAAGAGTACGGGAGACACAGGCGGTGTTGAGTGGTAGTTATAAAAGAGATAAAACGGTTATAAAAATTTCTTACTGTTGGAAAGACTTTAACAATGATAAACTGTTTCTCAGGTCAGTTCTCCGAGAACGACGTCTTCTTTAACTCGCACAATCACTACACGGACCAGTGTCTCAACGAGGCGGCCGGAGGCTCCGACGCCCAACTTGACTTTTACCAGATGCACACCTACGACTGGTCGGGATCCTGGAGTTTTGGCGCTCCCTTCACTGTTAGTATTGTATGGTGGTGATAGTGTATGTACGTACGTGTGTGTGTTTCAACACACTGGAAGAGTATGGGAATGCAAAACTCCGAGTCGTTTGTACAGAATTTGGATCTGTTGAAGACTTGAAACCCCCTCAGCTTATTTCACCGGATGATTAAACACCCAAACATTGTTTGGGTAGTTAGATTAACGTGGATGAGGCTAGGTTAGGATTAGGCGAAATAAGCAAGGGTTTCTAATATTCATGAGGTTCAACCATTTTGTCTAAGATTTCATGGGTAAAACAGAACGTGTGTGGTGACGTTCGCTGTTGTAAGATGAGAGAAACAATGTTTAGTGCTTATAAAATTTCTTATTCATTTAGGTGTAAAATTTTCTATAATTTACAAGTAAATAACGTCTATCTTGTATTAATTTATAGCAAAGTTTTTTCTTGTATATAAGTGGAAAATATTTACTTTGTTTTTGCTATGGTGAATGCGTTGTTGTAGGGTGTTGTTGTTACCAGCACAAAACTGTCGTCTGGAGCAGAGAGAGGAGGACCTTACACCAACCACGAGCTGGTTTGGTAAAGGGTAAAAATAAGGTTGTTTCTGACATCTACAGGTGAGTGCCTCTGACTACATGCTGAACAAGCCCATCGTGATCGGCGAGTTTGCTTCGGTGTGTGCTGCGGGCACGCCTCTCCCTGACCTGTACGAGTACGCTTACACCCACGGCTACAGTGTTAGTATATGTATAGTATGTGTGTCACTAACGGCTGTATTATCAGTCGACATCCACAGGGTAGGGCTACCCAAGGACTAACGTGAACAGAAACTGAACTTGACTTGCATTCATGACACAGTTGCCGACAGTATAAAGCGTCAACAAAGACAGGCAGCCAACCATATCTTACAAGATGTCACAAACCTCACTTACCGCGTAGGCTTATCATTATTTAATTTGGGTCATCAATGAAAAGGCACTATGTTCGTCTTGATGTATAATAAATCGTATTTGGTATGAAATAATTCAGTGAAATTAAATTGGAGACGATACAGTTTAACTGGACACCATCAAAAGAATAAATGACACTGCAGTAGGTCCAGGTGAGGCACCTCATGTTTTCATCCAACTAATATCACTCCTATATCTTCACAACCTATATTTAACACTTCCTAACGTGACCGGGTTAATAATAATGTTTTTTTTTTAAATTTGTTCAACTGTTTTCAAGCCCGTATTTACCTATTTTCTTCTAAAAAATTTCTTTAATTCAAATCTATTTTTGTGTTCAGTTCTAGTTTGATAGTTGAAACGCCTCATTAAATCCACTTCCTGTATCTCAACTTTCATTTGCACACTTTGATCACATCATCTCTCGCTCGAACTCTGCGGTAATGTATAGTATAGTATAGTATGTTGACCAAAACTGAACAGCCTGCCTGATCCAATTAACTTTTACTCAGCCTAAATAATTATAAAATGACATTTGATCTGGTCACTCACACTCCTTCATATATAATCTCGGCTATATTAGGCCTCTCCTCTAATACAGTGTAGCCTTAATTGGTCGTAGGTCTCTACCGTTAAATTTTCCTCCCACATCCAGGTTTCCTAATGTTATTCTATGCAGTTCATAGTTAGTTCTCCAATAACAATCTCCAGTTTAGAATTTCGAACACATCAGAACAAATCACCTTAGCAATAATATTCGAGTATAAACATGTCTGTCACATAGAGAAGATACTGCTACTCTATAAAGTTCAATTAGATATATTATTTTTTCTTTTGTGTTTACGTTACACATTATAGTAATTAATAATTGATGATGAGGTTGCTTGTGTGTTACAGGGAGCGTGGACTTGGCACTACACGGCCACAGGTGACTGTAGTGACAGCCGAGACGCACAGAGAAAGGCTCTTGGTCACCTGAAGGGACGAAATGACCATGGCGTCATTAACTTCACTGTAGAATAACTTGCTAACTTTTGTACATAACCCTGGACTGATGCTACCCCCTGAACCCTAACCTCCTGTTCAACTCTTCACTCCCTCACAGACCAACAAGAAGCGAGAGTGGAAACTTCTCAGCGTAACTGTTGTCTGTGGGAAGCATTTGATAACGATTATGTCATGGCTACTGTTATTATATTGCTATAATCAAAGATAAACTAATCTTAAACACTATCATATTACAATGTATCATCTCTGGATAATTTTTGGATCATGATTCCAATTTTCGTTTTCTAAGAGATGCAATATTTTCTATTGATCGTAATAAATTGTAGCAATGAACAATCATTTTGTATTTACCGTAATTTTCGAATGACCAACATCATCATCTTAACTCTAGTGGTGGTCTACGTCACACCCTGCTCTTTGTTTTCCTGCCTGCCTGCCTGTTTGCTTGTTTGTTTATGTTTGTCTGCCTTTCTGTCTCCCTGCCTGTCTGTTTTCCTGCCTGTCCGTCTGTGTGTCTTTATCTCTGTCTGGTACCTCCCTGCCTTTCTTTTTTCTGCCTTCATGTCTGCCAGTCTTTGTCATCTGCCTGCTTGGCTGTATAAATGAACTCTAAATATAGTTTATGTTAAACTTATCATAGAAAATGAATTACAATAGTAAATACACAAAAAACGTTAATGGTGCAGGAGTAACTAAACTATACATGATATTGACACTATTTCATTCATTATGGTATTAAGGACAAATCAATAAGAATTATATATTTTGTATATGTAATATCTGAATGACAATGAACGAACGTAATATATAATGTGTACTGTATATACGGGGGGGGTATTGAAGGAAAAGATGGGGCAATTTTCTCGCAAATGGCCACTGTAGATTCAGGCAAAATGGAAGAAATATCATTTAGAATTTGGTGAGAGGAAAACCTGAATATATATAATGAATTTAGGAGATTTCAAGATAATTTAGCTTTTTGCATATTTACCGTAATATATATATATAATAGTTGACTAACTTAGAAGAAAATATAATCGCAACAGAGAAGACCAGAGAAAGGAATATGACCCGTTTGAGTCGTTCCATTGTTTGACACTTGAAGCACCAACCTTGAGTGAGCCCACCAGCCATCGTGGCCTGACGGACTCCAGTGTCGAGCTATTAAACAATGCCTTTTATATCCGCCCGCTCCACAAGGGGTCGCACAGCTCAAGGTTGAGGAAGCCACAAGTCCAGAAAACAGTGAGGGCAAACTTTTTCGGGGTGATAATTGTGAACTCTTGGAACAATCTGCCAGAGAGTGTTGTGTCGGCACCGAGTGTGAGCTTATTCAAGGCCAGACTTGACCAACACTGGAGCAGGTTCCGATATATTCAGGAGCCAGTATATGCCCAGTACTTGCTAACAGTGCGTAACAGAGACGTGACCGATCGCCCAAGCGGCTAACGAGCCGATCAGTGTCGAAAAGGATAAAAGTATTGTAAACAAACATCAGATATATTTAGAAATATCAGCATTAATTACAAAAAAAAACGTACACTTGGGCAATTTGTTAAAAATGTGTTACTGAATGGTTTTTAAATTAAATTTAGTTATTATACCTGGTTCGATATTTTATTTACTTTCATTATCGAGTATGGATCTTGAATTGACCACGGGAATAGGAGCAAGTCTATCAAGTGGAAACGCTACGTTTCGTCTAGGACAGATGACTACTCATAGAAAAAACGACAATATGGGAGTTGACGCAACGAGTGGTAGTGTAACGTCGCCTTGAGAGTAACCACCGATTCCTAGGTGAATATAAGATGATAATTATGATACACGTACTGTACAGGGAAGGGTGGATTCAGCTGCCCAAGATATACTCAGGCTATGTAAGTACATGATAAACTTTTTTGTTATTGAATACTACTATATTATTATTATTCATGATCATGATGTCAACTATTTAAGAAGTATCTAGCCTATAAGATTTAGTTTATTGTACACAGCTACGGCGAGGGCGGTTGGTCCTTATTTCATCTGCTAATAATAGATCTTGTAGCAATCTGCGTTTGCCTTTGTAAGTTTGGGTCACCTCAGTATCTGTTATTTTCAAGATATTTTACGTCATTTAACATCCTGTCTCTTGCCTTGGGGGTGTGTGTGTGTGTGTGTGTGTGTGTGTGTTCTAAAAATGATTCAGTGAAAAAGAATAGAAGAATTGTACTCATTTAACTTGTAGCCAATGTTATTCATTGGAATCATTCCCAATGGGCGATCATTACATGTAATACGTGTGTATGGTGCTCTAATATCCATGTACACTATACTATTATTGCATATTTACAGTTAATTATTTTTGTAATTTTGATTTTTTTTTTTTTTTTTTTTGCAACTTAACCAGAAAGCAAAATTTGCGTCGTGGGATTTTCCCCAACAGCCACAACGTGTTTTGGACGGTCTCAAAATTCCTCTAATCTATAGCGAAGTTTCACTTCCTGGTTATTTTGAAAACGCCCACAACGCGTTGGGGTCGTTTTAATTCGCCTAGTGAGCGAATTCGATTTTTGAGCCTAATATATACAGTATTAGGGACTAACTGAGATGAAAGCTTCAATCAAGAGACAGAGATAAAGTTGTCCTTGGAAAAAAGACATTTAATATTGCTGTACTGGGGTTCAGGTCCCGCCGTCTAGCGCCTGGGAGGTTCCACTGTTTAGCTCTGAACAGCTTGGGGGAAAGTAGGAGCTGTGAAACATCCACATACTTGTATATCTATGAAATTTGAATCATTTGAATTTTCGAAAACTTTAACGTATATCTATAAAAGTATATATTAGACAAAAAGAAAATTGTAACTTAATTTGCTAAGCATCGGTGGTTCAGTGGTAGAATTCTCGCCTGCCACGCGGGAGGCCCGGGTTCGATTCCCGGCCGATGCACATTTAGTTTATGTTGCACCCAATAAGAGGGAATCGTCTATGGCCATAACTAACAAAAGGTACAATAGTAATTTGATATCTGTTTAGTATAATAACTAATAGACACGGAATATTAAGATAAAATATTACCTCTTACTTTTACTTTGTTGTGCGTATGAAGGATGATACTGTACTTACTGTACACCCCTACGGATACAACTCATTTCTCAATCACGTTACAAACTTTACCGTGTTTATATAGGGTATATGGTGTGCTTACCGACGGCAATGTAATAATAATAATGATAATAATTAACGGTTTATTGAAAGAGCATGGCAGCCGGAAGGCTGAAAATATACAGTTACATAATTGGGGAATGGGTCTCTTGATTTACAAATAATATACAAGTAACATAAGTGATACAAATATGATATATAATAACTAGGTGGGGATAAGCTCAAACTACAGGGCATTTCAACATAGTGCAAAAAGTAAGATTGACTGGGAGTGAATACACTAGTTGATTACAAGTTATTGATAATTTTTACAATGGTTGGGACTGGGCTGTTCTTATAGCGGTCAGTTCGTGCTCATATGGGCTGGATGCGGTTGTGGTGTAGAACAGTAATTCTCGGGCGAGGGATCTCAGGTGGTAGTAGGAGCCGGTGTCGAGGATGGTGCGGAAGCTTCTCACCAAATTTGCAGATGAGGTAGTGGTGATGGTCAGTGAGAGCCGAGAGGGTCAGTGTGCATGTGTTTTTGTCTGATGATAATGATAACATTTATTCAGTAAAATTGTCAAACAAGTATATAAACTCTGCAAGTTAATACAGTACAACGTGAATGTAGACAGTATAGGCATACGGTGCACGTAGGTTGTGGGTATATATGGTTAGGTTAGGTTAGGTTAGTGCAGGTATACAACAGTGGTAAACAGTAAGGCAATTTGACCAAGAATAGTTGACAAGGCTGTCAGGTGTTTTTTTCCACGAGAGTCCTTTGCTTTGGCTTAGACTTGGTCCCTACTCAGTAACAGTATGTCTACAGGAGAAATGGTGAAGGTTTATGATAACTTCAACAAACATTACATTGCGCTTGGACTATCTGAGGCTGGCGGATCACTTAAACAATACAACATTCTGTGGCATCATCTGTTAGGAACTTTTTTTTTTTTTTTTAGTTTTAGCTTTGAGCTGTTTGATATCATTACTAATTTTGATGTGTCCAGATAAAGTGTTATTTCTTTGACCGCGTACACCAGGTAACACAAAAATATGTTCACTCTACCTTGTGCCCTGCAGGTTCATGTTACTAATCCTTACAAAGTTTGTTGTTAGATACCCTGGACACAGTCCACTGATAATCCTGTAAGCGTGATTCTGCACCACATATATGTGTAAGCGTGTATATGAGTGTGTATTCATACAGGTATTAGTGCATTTGCGCATGTGAGTGCATTGTGTTTGTCTCTGGATGTATGTTTTTGGCCGCACGAGTATAATTGTGCATGCAAGTATGTTTAAATATACGCATGTATGCGTGTGTGTGGGCATGTGTGTGGGCATTCTAACATGCCTTTACTTACCAGTATGTGTATAGGTATGTTTATGTATGAACGAGTACGCTCGTGTTTCTACATATAGACTTTTTCATGTAGATCCACACTGGAAACGTGGACAAGATAAATCTCGAGACATAACAGTGGCCACCACTGTGTAAAACCGGGCTTGTGAGTGTTTGAGCACAGGTGTGTGCAAGTCCTTTTGAGGTGGTTACGTGTACTGAAGCTGTTACGTGTGTATCAGTGAAGGTTGCACGTGCCCAGTCGAGCCCTCACAAACTGCAGGAGGTAATAACTCTTAAATATAGACGGGAATTACTGAACATGAGGCTTGTCGGAGATGTCTCTGTGCTATATCTGCCTGTGAAGTTTAATTAAAATTTTATTGTTTACTGTTAAGGACAGAAGGCGAGCACTGCATCCACCTCACCACCGCACTCCGGCACTCGCTCACTCACCTGATCTTTAACCCCAGTTCCCGGTGACTTTGAGTTATCTGAAACAATAACTGAGGTGAAAAAAAGGGCGTATGCACTGCCATCCCAGCAAGGACGTGGGTCACACTCCGCTCTTTATAACAGTCACATGAAGGACAATTATCCTTTGAGGTGTATCAAGACGCATTAATTTTTACAAAAGTCATCATAACACAAATCCGATTGCATGTTATTTTTATGAGGATGAGAATGATGATGATAATGGCAAAGACGACACTAATGACATGCTTTACAGACTAACAGGTAATTGAAAAGGTAAATGATTTGTGTTGTCAATCCTTAGTGCACATACGTGGAAAATTAACAAAAGCAAAACGGCGCCAAGAGTAGGTGAGAGGGAGACCCGCGCCAGGGTAAATCAAATA